GAGAGATAGAGAGAGAGAGTCTGAGCAGAAGCCGAGAGAGAGAGAGAGAGAGAGAGCAGGAAGAGAGAGGAGGAGATTCAGATTCTTTAATTTAGCACATAAATAGGTTGCAATTACAGGCAGTTATGGATAGGGATGACGTGAAAGTACAAACAAAAAAGAATAGTGAATCTACTAACGAAATGATCATGCCTGTGAGGCTCAAGTAGCACCTAGGCTTTCGACGTCGACGCCCCGCATTGAAGCATCTCTCTCTCTCTCTCTCTCTGCGCAGGGCGAATGGTTTGTGTCGAGCCGCACTATTGCTCCGGATGGCAGAATGAGAGGCGGCGGACACAACGCTACACGAAGCTTCGACTACGGCATGTCTTACGTCACTGGGCGAGCGTGACGCGCGTGGCGACACCGCGCGGCAGAGCGGGCTGGCGGACCGCTGCATCCGCACGGCAGCGGCAGCACCTGTACTTCGACGGATGGCTGGCCAGCCGCGAGGCTGTCACCAACCCGCCTCGAACTGCGCGCTACTGAGTACGTCTGTCTGTCTGTCTGTCTGTCTGTCCGGGTCTCTCCGCGACCTTCGTGTCTCTCCACGACCATAACGCCACGCTGTGACCTCTGCCACCTTCCATGTCTCACCTTCAAAGCCATCCTCACAGATGCAGCGTCCAGCCGAGCAGACGCCGTGGCCGCTGCACATGTCTGGACATGCCTCGCCGACGTAGATGTCTCTGATGGCCCACGATGGCGTGTCTTCGTTGCCCGCCGGAGGCTGGATGAAGCGGAACTGCGTTGACCTGCAGCAAAGAAACGTTGTTGCGCACTTGCAATTGTTTTTTCCTGCTATTATTATTATTATTTTATTTATTTATATTGCGCCTTTTTACATAAAACATGGTTCGTACAGGAGGACTGAAATTTTTTCCAAGGACTTTTCAAGGACATTTTATCGAAAATTCAAGGACATTTTATCAGACATTTTATCGGAATTCATACACAGTACAAAACATACCTGGATTAATTTAATAACCCCATTCTTAATCACTGCATGTCACCTCTAAAACTTACCTGGATCACATTAATAAACCCTTCTAAACACTGTCACTTCTACAACATACCTTAATTTACTGACTGATTTTACTGACTTACTGTAATTTATGATCATCATTTAACTGTCTATCGTGTCTAAAGCTTTTTATTGAGGTTTGCACATTATTGATGGTACAACATTTCTTTTTATCACAGGCAAGGATTCTTTCTAAAAATTCAAGGACATTTTCATGAAATTCAAGCACTTTTCAAGCACAAAATCAACATTTACTAAATTCAAGTACTTTTCAAGGACTCCCCTCAAATTCAAGGACTTTTCAAGGACTGTGCGAACCATGTAAAATGATCAAATGCGCAGCATATCAATTAATCGGAAAATTGACTGAACAAATAAGAATGAAGATGATAATAAATGTGGTAGTCCTGTCGCCAAGTAAAGATCCGTGTCCCAAATAGTGGGTACTATCCCAGTATCTGATGCTGTCCCAGTACAGGGTCCTGTCCCAGTACAGATGCTACCCCAGTCATGACCCAACACGGTGCTTTACATGATCTCACACGGATAACCCACCATGTCTCTAGCATACAAACACATAGAAATATCTCGTCGGCGCCGCGAGCACACGTCCACTCACCCGGAGAATGCGTGTTCGGGCAGCGGCAGGGTGACGCGTGTCCAGCGCGTGTACACGTCAGTGCCATACACGGACGCCGTCGCGAACTCGCCCGGCGTGCAGCGGTCGCTGCCGCCGCCGCCGCTGTTCCCGCTGTTGCCGGGATGGCACGCCGGCGTGAGCAGATGCCAGTTGTCGGTGCCGGGGTCGACGTTGTATTCGAGCGCGACCGAGTTGTTGGCACCGCAGCAGAGGAAGCGCTCGGCGCAGCCGACAGCAATCTGCAAACATGAAACGATTTACGAGTTGCGCAAATCACAAACGCGCGCGCGCACGCACGCACGCACGCACGCACACACACACACACACGTATTTATATATATATATATATCAGGAGCTAATAATGACAAAAATACAATTTGGTCACACTCACACTAACGTAGTCATGGTTTGTTAAACGTGTGTGACATGCATATTTTTAACATATTCATATTATCAGGAGCTAATAATGACGAATAATTTGTCATTATAAGCTCCTGATATTATAGTGATCTGTTGGATTCATTGAATTTTTCTTTCTTGAATCATAGAAATTCGTCACTGCACTTCAGTTATGCCTCCAATCTCAAGTCAACAAAGATCTATATAGCGCATATTATATACGTCATAAATATGACATATGCCATACTCATGAGGTTATTACGTTATAGAATATAGATATATCGAGGAGCGTAGCCTGCAGGAGGCGGGAGGAAGATGGCACCCACATTTTGATTTTGGAGAAAAGTGAAAGCCGAATAAATGTAAATGACCCTGTGATACGTGTATATGAATATTTTGGTAATCATCCAGGAAACCTTTGTACTCCCCTCATGCCATGCTATGCCATGCTATCACTATTAACTAAAGAGTGAATGACAAAAACTGAAAGGTTGATAGGCTCTGGTTACCAGTTATCGTTACATAACAGCAATGCGCACGCAAAGCACGCAAGCACGCACGCACGCACGCACGCACGCACACACGCACGCACGCACGCACGCACGCATGCACGCACGCAAGCACTAACGCGTGCACGCACGCACGCAAGCACGCACGAACTCACGCGCGTACGCACACACCCACACACGCACGCGCACGCACTCACGCGCGCACGCACGCACGCACGCACGCACGCGCGCACGCACGCACGCACGCACGCACCTTAAACTGCATCATGTAGTTCTCATCGACGATGACAGGCTTTAGAGTGATGCTCTTGCTCGGGCTGTCGTTGCCCCACACGATGGCGTCACCGCGCTCGCTGCAGTAGCCGCCCAGCCGCCGCCCACCAGGGTGAAAGATCCACGGCACCGTCACCTCGTCATCACCCTCACGGTCCGGCATCCACTCCAAGCTTGCCGGGCTGATCTCAGAGCCACCTGGCGGGGCGATTCAGAAAATTAGCAGCGAAGGGTTACTATACGATCTTTCGTCGTCGCGTTCCAAAATAAAAACAGTAGTTAATGGTTATAATTTAGTAGAATTAAATACAAGCAGCTAACGATTAAACAGCTGCTTAGCTAATAAAAATAACGACAGTTGAATATATGAGATCACGAATCGCGTAGTGTCTCCTTCTGCACTGTTGCAGTTTAAATCCATCACTTTTAACTTCGACATCTTTCTCACAGCAGCCATGTGTTACGCCGAGGCCCGGACCGACAATACGGAATGCAGATCCACTGCACTACCTTATGTTGGTTCGATGAGCTTATCCCTTGAAGCCACTCAGGTTAGTAATTAACAAACACCGCGTTCAATATTTAATTTCTTTCTTGCAATATCGTCGATCGATGACGCTTCGATTCACCCCCTAAATCCCTTTAAATTTAAATTTAAGTTTTTTATTTTTTTAAATTTTTATTCCAATTAATCTCCCAAATTCCCCCCTCTAAACTCCCTATATATCCCACCGACGTAAGGCGGCGCACCTATGAAGCAGTTGTCGAGAGCCCACGCCGGTCTGTCGTCGCTTGTCGGCTGCCAGAACTTGACGCGCGTTGTCTTGGTCTTAGCCGATGGCGGCAGGGCAACGTGCAGCAGCCGCGGCCGCGTATACGAGTCGTATCCCAGCTCGCGTAACTGCATCCACGACGTGCCTGGTAGCGCAAAGAAAACCCTCGCTACAACGCCTCGCGAGACTATAGCTGGTTAGCGAGTACACGTTGTATGCAAACAGTTGCATGCAACACGTGTGTGTGTATGTATGATGGTCTTACATGGAACGGGCCACATCACTGGCACCGTCTGTATCAGTAACACACGCGTGTGAGTTGTGCTCGGGGCATACCTTTATCGGTGGAGTAGTGGATGAAGACAGATTGGTCCCTAGATGTTGGTGTGCTGCACCCAGACTGGTTGCTGCTGCCGCCCAGCTGAACGTGACACTGTAGGAAGCTGCGTCGACAGAGAAGAACTTTATATGTGACATAACCATACTCTTAATGTTCTCTCTCAGCCAGCTATCTTCGTCTCTATTTCCCCCTAGACAGACAGACAGACAGACAGACAGACAGACAGACAGACAGACAGACGTACTCAGTGAGGCGCAGATCGAGCGGGTTGGTGACAGCTTCGCGGCGGCCGCACCCGTCGAAGTACAGGTGCTTGCCGCTGCCGTGCGGATGCAGCGGTCCGCAGCCGCTCTGCCGCGCGGTGTCGCCACCGGTCACGCTCGCCCAGTTGACGTAAGACATGCCGTAGTCGAAGCTGTCGTGCAGCGTTGTCCGCAGCCTCTCATCCGCATCCGGAGCAATAGTGGGCACACACGATTCGCCTGCGAGAGAGAGAGAGAGAGAGAGATGCTTCATGCGGGGGTCGACTCGAAAGCCTAGTGCTACTTTGAGCCTCACAGCACTCATTCGTTAGTAAGTTCACTATTCTTTTTTGTTTGTACTCTCACGTTATACCTATCAATCATACACCTGCTGTATTGCAACTAAGTTATGTGCTAAATAAAAAATCTGAATCTCTCTCTCTCTCTCTCTCTCTCTCTCTTTCTCTCTCTCTGAGATTCAGATTCTTTATTTAGCAGATAACTTAGTTACAAATACAATACAGAAGGTGTATGATAGCCTGATAGGTATAACGTGAGAGTATAAATAAAAAAGAATACTGAACTTACTAACAAATGCAAGTGCTGTGAGGGTCAAAGTTGCACTAGGCTTAAGAAGGGGAGGGGAGTGATGATGACCTACTCTATTCGTATGCGGGACGCATTAACCACGAGTGCCGTCACAAAACACTCTAGTAAGGCGATTATTTTTCTCCCTCGCCTGCACCTGAAGGAAAATTTGCGTCCTCGTTTTTTTCTTGTGCGCACATGTTATGAGGAAACTCGCCAGATTTAGGCAATTAAGATAACGATTAAACACTTGCGAATACTGATCGTTAATTGTGCAAATTAAATTGTTAATTGCAGAACATTAATCACTAATCGCATAACATTAATCACTAAGCGGACAATTTCAGAGTTAATCGCTCAAACGAATTGCCAATTCGGGATGGGACTTTCATGATCAACACAAAGATTATCTGTCATTCGCAATCAACGTGAAGACTAATCGCCGTGTGCAATCAAGACGAGGAGTCATCAACATTCATGATTGATGCAAAGACTCAAGGTTCAACAATTAATGTACAAGCTCACGTCGTTCACATATCTTTACATCCTTCACGTTCCTTTATGAAGGTCACATCTCTCTGTGACCTTCGCGTCGAGATGACCTATCTGCCACCTTCCATGTCTTCAACCTTACAAAGCCATCCTCGACAGATTGCAGCGTCCAGCGAGCAAGCCGTGGCCGCTGCACATGTCTGGACACTGCCTTCGCCGACGGTAGATGTCTCTGTGGCCCACGATGGCGTGTCTTCGTTGCCCGCCGGAGGCTGGATGAAGCGGAACTGCGTTGACCTGCAGCATAAGAAACGTTGTTGCGCACGGTTGCAATTGTTTTTTCCTGCTATTATTATTATTTATTTATTATTTATATTGCGGCCTTTTACATAAAACATGGTTGTAGGCAGGAGGACTGAACTTTTTCCAAAGGCACTTTTCAAGACATTTTATCGAAAATTCAAAAGGACATGTTTATCAGCATTTTTATCGAAATTCAATACACATCAAACTGACCTGGATTAATTTAATAACCCCATTTCTTCAATCACTGCATTTCAACCTCTAAACTTACCAGGGGGGGGGGGGGAGGGGGGAGCGGGGGGGGGTGGATCACATTAATAAACGCCTTCCTAAACACTGTCACTTCTACAACATACCTTAATTTACTGACTGATTTACTGACTTTACTGTATATTTAATTGACATATTTTAACTGTCTATCGTGTCTAAGCTTTTTCAATTGAGGTTTGGCACATTATTGATGGTATCATCATTTCTTTTTATCACAGCTATGGATTCTTTCTAAAATTCAAGGACATTTTCAATGAAATTCAAGCACTTTCAAAGCACAAAAATCGAAACATATATCTAAATTCAAGTACTTTTCAGGACTCCCCTCAAATTCAAGGACATTTTCAAGGACTGTGCGACCATGTAAAATGATCAAATGCGCAGCATATCAATATCGAAAATGACTGAACAAATAAAATGAAATGATAATAAATGTGTATCCTGTCCCAAGTAAGATCCTGTCCCAAATAGTGGGTACTATCCCAGTATCTGATGCTGTCCGTCCAGTACAGGGTCCTGTCCCGTACAGATGCTACCCCAGGTCATGACCCAACACGGTGCTTACATGATCTGCACACGGATAACCCCCCATGTCTCTAGCATACAACACATAGAAATTATCTCGTCGCGCCGGCGAGCGCACGTCACTCACATTGCCGGAGAAGTGCGTGTTCGGGCAGCGCAGGGTGACGCAGTGTCCAGCGGCGTGTACAGCGTCAGTGCATATCACGGACGCGGAGTCCGCCGAACTCGCCCGGCGTGGCAGCGGTCGCTGCCGCCGCCCGCCTGCTGTCCCGCTGTTGCCGGGATGGCACCCGCGTGAGCAGATGGGCCAAGTTGTACGGTGCCGGGGTTCGACGTTGCTATTCGACGCGATCCGGTTGTTGGCACCGCACACAGGAAGCGCCGGCGCAGCCGAACAGCAATCTGCAAACACGAAACGGATTTACGAGTTGCGCAAATGAATCACAGATACAGCGCGCAGCCGAATACGCACGCTACGGCACGCACGCACAACACACACACACACACTGTATAATATATATATATATAGTTTATATATATATATATATATCAGAGCTAAATAATGACAAAAATACAATTTGGTCACGACTCAACACTAACGTAGTCATGGTTTGATTAAACGTGTTTTGACGATGGCATATTTGTTAACATATCATATTATCAGGAGCTAATAATGACGAATATATTTGTCATTATAAGCTCCTGAATCATTAATAGTGATCTGTTTGGATTCATTGAATTTTTCTTTCTTGAAATCATAGAAATTCGTCACTGCACTTCAGTTATGGCCTCCATGGCTCAGTCAACAAAGATCTATATAGCGCGCATTAATTATATAGTCAATAAATATTGACATATGGCCGATACTCATGATTAATTACGTTATAGTAATATAGATATATCGAGGGCGTAGCTGCAGGAGGCGGAGGAAGATGGCACCACATTATTGATATTTGGAGAAAGTGAAAGCCGAAAAATGTAAAGACTGCCTGTGATACGTGTATATGAATCGCTTTGGTAATCATCCGACGAAAACCTTTGTACTTCCCTCACCGCCATGCTATTGCATTGCTATCACTAATTAACCTAAAGAGCTGAATGACAAAACTTGAAAGGTTGATAGTCATTGGTTTACCATTATCGTTACTAACAGCAATTGTGCAGCAAAGCCACGCACGCACTGCACAGGCACGCCGCACGCAAGCACGCACCGACGCAGCACGCAACGTGGCACGCAAGCACGCACTGCACGGCAACGCAAGCACTAGACGCGGTGCACAGCAACGCGACGCAAGCAGCGCAAGAACTCACAGCGCGTACGCCACACGGACCGCACCAACGCACGCGCACGCACTCACGGCGCAGCATGCGCGCACTGCACAGCGAGCGGCACGGCAGCACGCGCGCAGCCTTAAAGCTGGCCATCGATGTAGTTCTCATCGAGCAGTGACAGGCTTAGAGTGATGCTCGTTGCTCAGGGCTGTCGTTGCCCACAATGCGTCACTGCGCTCTGCAGTAAGCCGCCCAGCCGCGCCGCACCAGGGTGATAAGATCCACGCACGTCACCGTTCGTCAATCACCCTCACGGCGTCTCCCGGCATGCCACTGCAAGCCGCCGGCTGATCTCAGAGCCAGCGCTGGCGGGCGATTCAGAATATTAGCACGAGGTTACTATATACGATATTGTCGTGCGTTCGCGTCCAAATAAAAACAGTAGTTAATGATTATAATTTAGTAGAATTAAAATAGCAAGCAGCTAACGATTAAACAGCTTGCTTAGCTATAAAAATAAGCGACAGTTGAATATATGAGTATCACGAAGATCGCGAGTTGTCTCCTCTGCACTGTTGGCAAGTTTAAATCCATCTACTTTTAACTTCGACATCTTTAACTCAGCACAGTCCATGTGTTACGCCGAGCTCCGGACGCGACAATATCGGAACTGCAGCATCCACTGCACTAAAGCCTATGTTGTTGCGCTTGAGCTTATCCTTGAAGCCACTCAGGTTAGCATTAAAAAAACACCGCGTTCAATATTTAATTTTTTCTTGGCAATTATTCGCGATCGATAACGCTTTCGATTCACACCCATAGAATTCCTTTAACTTTAAATTTAAGTTTTTTTTATTTTTTTTAATTTTATTCCAGATTAATCTCCCAAATTCCCCCGTCTCTAAACTCTCCTATATATCCACCGACGTAAGGGCGGGCGCACGCTATGAAGGCGGTTTGTCGAGAGCCACGCCCGGTCTGTCGTCGCTTGTCGCTGCCAAACTTGAACGCGCGTGTGTCTTGGTCCTTAGCCGATGCGGTAAGGCAACGTGCAGCAGCCGGGGCTGGCGTAATCACGAGTCGTATCCACAGCTTGCCCGTAACTGCATCCAGACGTCCTGAAATGGATAGGGAGAGAAAATCGCATCGCTACAACGCCTTGCGCGAGACTAATATGCTGGTTAGGCGAGTACAACGTTGTATTGCAAACAGTTGCATGCAACACGGTGTGTGTGTATGTAGTGATGGCTCTACATGGAACGGGCTACATCATGGCACCGTCTGTATCAGTAACAAACGGCGTGTGAGTTGTGGCTCGGGCATAACCTTTATCGGTGGAGTAGTGAGTGGGAGAACAATTGGTCCCTAGATGTTGGTGTGGCTGCACCAGACTGGTTGCTGCTGCCGCCAGCTGAACGGGACACTGTAGAAGGCTTCGTCGACAGCAGAAGAACTTTATATGTGACATAACGCATACTCTTAATGTTCTCGTCTCAGCCATTTATCTTCGTCTCTGCTTCCCCCCGTTCTCTTCCTCCCTCGCTTACGCTTCCTCTCTCTCTCATCGTCTTCCTACCTCTCTCTGTCCTCTCACTCGCCGATTTCTCTCTCTCTTTCCCCCTTCTTTCCCTCTCTCGTCCCTTCCTCCCTCTACCTCTTCCCCCTCTCTCTCCTCTACACACGAGCACACGCGCGCGACCACACCGCGTGTTCACTGCAAGCACGCATCGCATATCGCGACACACATATATATAGCTAAATTATCAATGCTAATGCGATCCTCCATTTCAACCCACCTCCTCCCCCTCCCTCTACCTCAACCACCTCCTCGCACCCTCCTCACATCAAACTACCTCCTCCCCCTCCGCTCTAACCCCAACCCACTTCCCTTCCCCTACCTCAACCACCTCCTCTCCGTCCCCCTACCTTAGATCTCAAACCACCTCCTCCCCCTTCATCCCTACCGTCAACGACCCTCCTCCGCCCTCCCCTCATCCTACATCAACCACCTCCTCCCCTCCCTCATACCCCACCTCTAACCACCTCCTCGACCCTCCACTCTACCTCACCACCCTCTCCCTCTCCCCCCTACCGTAGATCTCAGCACGCCCCCTCCTCCACGCTCATCCTAACCTCAACCACCTCCTCCCGCGCTCCGCCTCATCCTACCTCAACCACCTCCTCCCCCTCCCTCTACCCACACCTCAACCACCTCCTCCCTTTCCCTCTACCTCAACCACCTCCTCCCCCTCCCTCTAGCCGTTCACCACTCCTCCCCTCCATCTACCGTCAACCGAGCCTCCTCCCCCCATCCCTCTACCCCACACCTCCCCCCCTCCCTCTACCTCACACCTCCGCCCTCCTCCCTCTACTCAACCACGCTCCATCGCCTCTTTTAACCTCAAGCCACTCCTGCTCAACTCTCTTACTGGAGTCCCTGAGGTCCATTGTCCAACTGGAAGAGCGAGTTGTCTCTCGCCGGTGGCGTGTGAACACTAGATGGCAGGTTCTGGGTTAGCTCATCACATAGTTCGCCGACCCTACCTCCTCTGCACCTGCTGCCACACGCCGCGTCCCGGTGCGTCGCCCTGAAGTCATCCTGCTGCCGGAACACCTAAATTATTATTATTTTATTATTAATTATTAATTATTATTATTAATTATTAATATTATTATTATTATTATTATTAATATTTATTATTGATTATTATTATTATTATTATTATTATTATTAAATCTGTTATTGCATGTAAATTCAGATCAAGTAATCGTGTACTGAAGACAGGTCTTTCACGGAGAAAAATATGCTGATTTAAAATGCAATAGTGTTGAGCAGTTAAAATGATCAAAGGAATCTCAGGAAAAATTTCTGAGTGATACAGTACAAAACGCTTATACAAATGAAGAAAAAATATATACAAGAAAAAAAAACTTCAGCATAATCTGTACAAGTAAAGTGATTAATGTGCACTTCAACAACTCACTCTGTGTGGCAGGGAGAGGGGTGCGCTGGATTAACCCGGTCTGGAACGTGTGTGAGGGGAGGGGGTCGTTGGATTAACTCCGGCAGAACGTGGGTGAGGGGAGGGGGTCCCGTGGATTAAACCCGGGCAGAACGTGGGTGAGGGGGAGGGGTCAGTGATTAACCGCGCAGGACGTGGGTGAGGGGGATAAAGGAGTCGTGATTAACGCCGGGCAGGACGTGGGCTGGGGCGGGGAGGGGGGTTCGTGAGGATTAAACACGGCAGGACGTGGGTCGGGGAAGGGGCGTGTAGGATTACCCCGGGCAGGACGTGGGTGGCGGGGCGAGGGTCGTGGATTAATAACGACCGGTCAGGACGCTGGGTGCGGGGGAGGGGTCCGTGGATTAACCGCGGCAGGAACTGGGTGAGGGGCGAGGC